AATTCTCAAAAAATAGATATGTTTAGCTGACACAGACAGTATATGTAAATACAGACAACTTTAACTATTTCACAAACAAATATGTTCATTTTTTCCAACTTACACAGACAAAGTTTCATACACCACACAAACAAACATGATCAATCTACAACACACACAGAACGAAATACAAACAAGATGAAGTCCTACCCGGATCATACACAATGTCCATGGAAGCCTCCAACGTCGGTCCATCATCTTCTTGAGTTTGGGCCCTTTTTCCGTCATCTTTTTTAGTGGTGCGAGCTCCAGAGGTCTGTCCTTCAAGTCCTGCAGCTACGGAGGTCTGTCTGTCACCTTCTCCAGTTACTACCGACGTTTCTTCGATTTGGAGAACTCCGTCATCTCCGCTTGCAGCAGTTGCATCCCAAAAAGCCCAAAATTCATCATCGTTAACATCTCCCATGGTGCGAGACAAGCTTCCCTGTCGTCCGTAGCAAGAAAACCGGAGACTGCGTTGATTTTTTTTGTTGTGCGAGAGAAGCTTCCCTGTTACAGAAGCTATGAGAGAAGACCGAGTGGGTGGCTGTGTTGATTTTTTGGGGGAGGGAAACTGCGGCACGTGTGACTGAGTGGGGAAAGGGGGTAATGTTTTTTTTACTTTGGGCCTTATATATGGTGTACTAATGTGTATAAAAAGGTGTACAAAGAGCAAAATTGATACTCCCTCCATCCCGAAAATGTTTGCCAAATTGACTTTTCTTGGTCAATGACAATCAACTTTGACCAATGATATATTTTAATACGAAATTATTTAGAATATGAAAATTATATCAAAATATTCCTCATTGAAAATATTTTCATAAAAGTATAAAATTTATAAATTATATACAAATATAATAACTAAAATCATTTCTCAAAGTTTGCTATCATTGACCAAGAAAAATCAATTTGGCAAACCTTTTCGGGACGGATGTAGTATTAAAAACACTCCCGTGACTTACAAACACCCGAAGTAGATACGAAATGTACTGTGATGCTAAATTTAATTTTAAATTGTGATAAAATTCGTGCAGCCAAACAAAGCATAAGTTATTTTTTAAGTATCTTTTGTATCTTTTGCATATAATTCGTGTAGATGTGTATCTTTTGCTCTTTATCATCAAATTATTTGATTAATGTTAACATTATTTATTAACAAATAATTAATTTCCCTTTGATTTATCATTTATTAGACGTTAATTTACTTCATATATATTAGCGGTTTTTTAAAATATTACTAAAATAAAGTTTATTTACATATATATGAGTCTATATATGACCAATAATTACTATAATCTAGTGTCATGATAATTACTACGGATTAATAATTACTACAATTTAGTGTTATGATAATTAAGTTTAAAAATTGAATACTTCGTATATGTTACTATAGTTACATTATTATTACTCTAGCTAGTCAATTATTATATTTTTGTAAACAATCTTTATTTTAGGTAAGCACTTCAATTATAGAATCTAAATTAGTTTTGTGAAGTGTAAACTTATTGTGCGGTAAACTTAAAAATAGTGCAGTAAGTTTTACGTAGCCAGTTAAATAAAAAAGGCAGAATACGCCGCTAAGGAAAAAAGTTGAGAGAATTCTCCAAATAGGAGTAAAACATAGCCAAAATGCAAAAATAGGAGTATCATGTTTTGAATAGGAGTAACTTTAGTGTTTGGACAAGTATACCCCTACCCAAGCCCCAACAACTATTAATTAAATGTTTAATTCATAATAAATTCGAAAAATTCAAAAATCGTAGAAAAATAATTAAAAAATTTATAAAATATTAATAAAATAAAAAATTAAAAAAAAATAAATTTTTTATTTATTTTTTTTAAAATTATAAAAAATAGTAAAACTCCATAAAAAAAATTAAAAAAATATGGATGCCTTTCCCACCGCTTGTACTACCTCCTTGCACCACCACCCTTCGGGCGGTGAAAAAATTTCATTTTTCCTAAAAACTGTCTTTTTCTGAAAATGTCAAAAACATGGCATATTTCTCTTTGTGAATGCCAACATTTTCATTGTTTTCTGCCATAAATATGACATTCATAATGAATTTAACATTTTCCCCTGGTGACTGGAGGTGGTGGTGCTGAGGCGGCAGAGGCGGCGGTGAATTTTATTTTATTTTTTTGAGTTTTTTATTTTTTAAAAAAAAATTATATTTTTTTATTTTTTGAAAAATAAATAAATAAATAAATTTTTATTATCGAATAAGTCATAAATTAACTAGGTTAGGATTAAATAAGTCATATTTTAGAATTAACTAGGTTAGGGATATTAAAGGTACAAAATTAATGTTTACTTCTATTGAAGGAAGTTTTAAGTTTTACTCCTATTTGTGCAATTATATGTTTATATTTACTCCTATATTGGACAATTTCTAACAAAAGTTTCACTCCTAATCTTAAATCCTTTATCATCCCTGCACACTTGATTGGGAACGACCGACGGCCGAATAGTTTCCGTCAAACTATCCCTATGAGTCTCCGTTTCGTAGCAAAAATAGTACTGGCTGGTTGATGGGAATAATCAATGAAAGGATCGATCAGCACACACGAAACGACTCTCTCCTGCTCTATACCGACAGTATATACGGAGTATGTAACAATATAATTTAAGAGCACGTTTTGTGACTTCATTTTTCGGTTTATCATCAACTTTTTCGTCAAACACGTAAGTTTTGATTTCGCGTACTGAATTGTGTTATAATAGCAAAAATTAATGTTGGAATTACTTTTCTATAATAGCAAAAATTAATGTTGGAATTACTTTTCTGGTTGTTTTGGGTGAAGTTACCGTAGATGATCATTTTAGCTATTTTTTCGTGTAATATTTTCTTTATTTTATTAATAAAATATTTCCTCTGTCCCATTGGACTTTGCGAACTTTCCCTTTTTGGTTGTCCCAAAAAACTTTGTCACTTTTCTATTAAAGCAACTAATTTGTGGTTTTGCATATTTATCTCTCCTCTGCACAAATCTCAACCACACAGTTTTTACTATTCTTATTTCTCACCTACTTTGCACTTGGCAAAGTGTACCGCGACGGAGGTAGTATATTTTAAATAGTTTTTATATAAATCAGCAGAATTAGTCAATACAGTCAATGCAGTCAGAACTTAATAAATTTCAGCTGATTCAGTCGATTTCAATGTTAGCAAACGGGCTCTAAGTTTTTCACTCAAATTTGTAACTTATCTCTTGAATATTGATTAAATATCTTGTGTTACGATGACATTATTATCGATCTTCCAAATAGAATATCACATGTTTGATTTCAAATCGTTCTAATTAATTAAGGGTGTAGATATGGAACCACCCGTCAGAGTTTCGTGGTGCGAATTTGAAAGGATTTTAAAAAGTTTCTAATAATGCACATTCCTTCTTATAAAGTTAAATCGAGAGCTTTTATTAGTGTTCTTAATTACATGTAGTTGGAAGATACTATAAAAATGCTAAATTATCATTAGTCAAAATAATACTATGCCTAATTTGTTCATATTAAGCATTTCTCAACTACACAAGGAGCACAATAATTGATTCAGAGTTCAAATTGATGAAGTCCTCAATATTCATACCTTGGGATGTACTCTCTCCGTCCCAATTTACTTAGTCAAACTTGACTTTTCAAATCAACGACATCTAACTTTGACCGATTATTTAAGAGTTATTTAAGTTTTTTTTTATCCCGGAAGGCAAACCACCAAAATCAGTAGGTAAATGCCGGGAGTCAGATACCAGGATTTTATTAAAGTAAATTGAAATACAAAAACAAGAGGGGGACTAGGCCAAAACCTCCCAAAAAATAAAACAAAGAGGACGTACCCTCAGAAATTACAGCATAAGAACTAATAAAAACATCGAAAAGACGGGAAACCGAATAAATCTTTATAAAAAGCTTGACGGGCTAAAAGAGGAAGATCTGCAGGCCTATTATAATACTTAAGAGTTATTTAAGTATTATCATATACTCCATTCGTCCCGTAATTATCTTCATACTTTCATTTTCGGTCTGTTCCAAATTTATCTCATCTTTCCCTTTTTAGCAAAGAATTTGTGGTTCACAACCATTCTTACACATTCTTACACATTTCTCTTTCCTCTTGCACAACTCTCCACCACACATTTCCCACTATCTTAATCTGTGTGTCATTTGTACTTCGGGAGATAAATATGAGACGGAGGGAGTAACTTATAGGCATGATGAAAGTGACACACATTCATAAATTCTTTTGACCATTTTTAGTTTATTTTCTGCTAAACTAATGTTGTTCTTATTTATTGTTTTTTGTCCCTGACCAAACAGGATCAGATTAGATAGATCTGAAAAATTTGAACAGTTATAAAATACACAAAGACCAAACATTTATCGAACAAAACCAATTCAGATCAGATCAAATCAGATTGAATCATGTGCTGATTTTAGTGTTGATAGGAATTCCCCTATTATGTTACTCATCAAAAAAGTTATCCTTCTCCATGCTTTATTTTACTATTGGGAAGTCAGAGTTTACATATACATAACATATCATAAAATATTACGGGTACTGATTAATAGTTCATCCGTTCTCTTTTAATTACAATGATCCACTTTTTACGTTTGTCCAACGCATATGTATCACATATAAAAATTATTAATCAAAATTTGTATGGACGTATATGTATGTACGTTTTAATCAAATTATTGTCAAAAAAAGGATGACACATCATCCCCTGAAAGTCCTCAACCCCGATCGAATGGTACGTTGGAAGGATGTAAATTGGACTATAATCTTAATCTAACAAATAGAGGGTGAAACTCTGTCCCCGATACTTACCAAGACCCTATGCATTTTTAGTATAATAACCTCGCAGTTATCCTGTTTGAAAGTTACGTGTTTTAAATACGTAATGCCGTAACGGAGATAACATGTTAATTACATCACATGTGAGTATACATATATATGTAGGGTATGTTCAAAGTCGCCATCCCTTCACTATTTATACCCTCCTCCTTATCCATTTCTCTTCAACAATTCTCAAAACAATATTTACAAGAAACTGCCGGAATCATTTTCAATGGCACTCTTCAAAATCCTTCCCGTTCTTTCCCTCACTCTCCTTTCCCTTTTCTGCTTCCCATTCTCCGAGGCTACCAGGTTCGACATCACAAACAACTGCCCTTACACCGTGTGGGCAGCGGCCTTGCCCTCCGGCGGCGGGCAGCAAATAAACAGCAACGGCGGGACATGGGGCCTCGACGTCCCGGCGGGGACCACCAGCGGTCGCATATGGGGCCGGACCGGCTGCAACTTCGACGGTTCAGGGAACGGGCACTGCCAGACCGGCGACTGCGGGAACGTGCTCGCCTGCAGGCTCTCGGGGGCTCCGCCGACAACGTTGGCGGAGTTCTCCCTGAACCAGCCCAACAATCTGGACTTCTACGACCTGTCGGTGATCGACGGGTTCAATGTTCCGATGAGCTTCAGTCCAACATCCGGCGGCTGCGCCTCCCTCCGGTGCCCCGCCGACAAGTGCTCCGATGCCTACCTCTTCCCGGCTGACAATACTAAAACCCATAGTTGCCCTTCAGGAACCAACTACAGGATTGTCTTCTGCCCTTGAAGAAGAAGATTACTGTAATATAATTGCTACCTCTGAAATAAAGGAAGATACTAGGTATATATATAGATGATCGGTCGATAATATGATGAATAAGACGGCGTCAAAATAAACACATTTACCGTGTGTAGCTCTCCTCACTAAAACACTTGTCCAGCTCGTTTGGATTACAAAGTTTTATGGAATATCTTTGCTTTCATTAAATTGATCATTAATTAAGGTGTTTTTCATCTGATTACAGTGTTTTGTCCAGCTCGCGCGTGTAATTCATAATAGCATTAGCTAGGCGGAGTATTAAAACAAACAGATCGAGACTGAGACAAACAAATGCCCCTTGCGATACTATGCGAACCCCTTTTGCGATAGTCAGCCCGTGCGCATTTGTCCTTCCCCCAATTCTCCACTCTCATTTAATAAAAGTATGTTGCACACTTGCGGCCCAAAAAAAATCATTTAAGTAAGGGAACATCGCACATTTCGTCTCTGAAATAGTCGACATATTGAAATATCAGACCCGTATTTCGGAGGTTGTAATTGTCACACCTCAATTGCCCAAATTGCTGTAAATGTGGTCCTTTGAAGGGTGAAATGTACTCCTCGCCCATAGTGTACATTTCACCCTCAAATGACGACATTTACAGCAAATTGGACAATTGAGGTGTGACATTTACAAACTCGGAAATACGGGTCTGACATTTCAATATGATGATTATTTCAGGGACTAAGAATGCGATTTTCCCTTTAAGTAAATAAATACGGATGTGGATTGGCCATCCAATACCAAAGTTTTTAGTTTTCTCATTTAAATTATACTACCTTCGTCCCATAAAATTCTTCTCACCATGACTTGGCACGGAGATTAAGAAAGTGGAAATGTATGTTGTGGTTGTGTAAGAAAAATGTGAAATGAATGGGAACCACATAAATTGTCCAAAAATGATAAGTGGGAAGAATTTTTTGGGACAGTCCAAAAAGGAAAGTGAGAAGAATTGTATGGGATGGAGGGAGTAAATCATATACAGAGTGCGTAGTATCTTTTTAATTTTTTATGTATTCAATGCATGCTTAATCTTCTCGATTATTATGTGATTGTGAGTGGCTTAATTTAGTTATTTATTAGGCATGATTAATTTATAATGAAATTTAACAAATAGAGTTGTTATTTATTTAGTTACGTAATTAAAGTAATCATATTTAACAACATGATTTGATTTTGTTATTGGAATGTCTTTAATTAAACAGAACAATCTGTTTCGAAATATCCCACTATGATTATATTACGTACCGTTTTTCCGTTTCGTTCCGTCCCACTAAAATTGTCACATATCAAATTTGATAAAGTTTGTGTGATTCTAAATCATTTTTTCTTTGTTATTACTTTATCAGTTTGTTATGAATGAGATTTAATTCATTATCAACTGCATAACTCATTTTTCTTAATAATCGCATCATTTCTTCGTGTCCCAATGTTAGTGGGACGAAGGAATGTTAGTGGAACGAAAGTAGTATGTTTTAGTAAATTTTACTATATCATAAATTATGTTTATATCTATTTATGTAGGAAAGGAAGGCCAATTTTTTGTGATTGCGCAGGGCCCTCTTATTTTCAGGACCGACCTTGATTTAAGTAGCCCTTCCAAAGTCCCTAAAATTGATTTTCATCAAGTTTAAGGATGATTTTGCTTGGGCTGCTTTTCAGTCCTAGACCAGATCAGACCAGATCAAACTTGGACAATTATAAAACACACAGAGACCAGACATTTACCAGATCAGGCCAGATCAGTTCAGACCAGATCACACCAGATTAGAACAGATCAAATCAGACCAGACCAGAAAATTCTAGTCCAAGTAAAAACCTCATAACAAAACTTCCAAGATTATTACCAATAATTTTAGCAACCCCTTAAAGTCAAATGACTTATTGGTAGATTATGCATTCGGACCAAAAAAATCGAGAAAAATAAAAGATCTCATAAAGGCAAATCATCTGACGTTAGTTCATGCAACACCACAAGGTTCTGAAACTTGTGATTGTAGAGCAACCGACCATACTCTATACCACGTATCATATCAATTTTATGGTAAAAAGAAAGGAAAAATTGACAAGAATATTCTCACCTTTCACTGATCTTCTCATAATAATCATACCTTTACATAATCTCAAAATAATCTCACCTTTGCACCCTATCTTCTTTCATTGGACCCTGACCAAGTTTTTTACCTTTCCTTCAAAATCTTATATAAATAATCTCACATTTATAAAGATATACTCCCTCCATCCCCATGTTATTGTCACAATTCCTATTCACTTGGTCAACACAAATCAATCTTAATCTCTTACTTTATTTATCAAAATTTTATCAAATTTGATTCTGATTTTTGCGACTTTGTAAAACTTTTAATGTAGTTTCTGAATATGCAATTTTTTTCTTCTAAAAATAATTCTAGTGCGGACAGGGATCTGTTTGCTATATCGTCAGTCAAGCATCGTAAACCGCAATGAGACAATAATAGAGGATCGGAGGTAGTAATAGAAAAGTGAAAGGTAAGATTATTTATATGATTTTCAAAAAAAAAAGAGTAAAAAACATGGTCAGGGTACAATGAAAGAAGATGAGGTGCAAATGTGGGATTATTCTGGGATTACCAAAAGGTGGGATTATTATGAGAAGACCAGCGAAAGGTGAGATTATTTTTGTCAATTTTTTCAAAAAGAAAATAGATACCTCATATCATCGATACCTTTAATTTAAACGTCTCTGCGATTGGTCATCTGTACATAGACACCAATGTCTCTTGACAACAATTTTACTGCCTTCCCTGTCAAAACCTTTAGTTTTACCGATGTCTTCCCTCCTCCTCACACTCATTTACACCGCCTTCTCTGTCAAAATAGTAATTAATTAGTGTTGTTTAAAGTTTTAATGGTAGAAAAAAAAAATTGAACATCCAAAACCCAAATCGTCAATCCGCCACTACCAGGACCGATCCTAGAGCATGGGCAACGGGGCATGCACCCGAGGCCCATTGCTCCCCTAGAGCCCATTAATTATTTATACGTTACATACCTATAAAAAATTAAAAATCAAATCAAATTTATAATTTTTTATACTTTCAAGGCATTATTCAATATCTAAGTTGCATCACCACTCCCTAGCCTAAGTTGCCTCAACTTATCATTGTAGTTTCTACAATCTTTTTCAATAAAGGGAAATTCATCATATCCACCGGCTTGAACAACGGCCGAGTTGAATGTTTTATGAAGTCGTATTCCCGCTACATCATTTATTTCTAGTTGTCTCCTTATTTGAGGAGTCAACCTCCTGTTGCATCGGAATAGGCGAGCCTTTGTTCGACTCATCGGATGAGAATGTTGTAGAGATATTTTTGAAATTTCCCATGAGCCATTATAAGTTGTGTGCGCCCGTATTCTAGCTCCGCACCCGGTTTGCATTGAAGGTTGGGGCTTCAATCGATTTTGTGCCTTATTACCTCGACTCCCTGCGCGTGAGCACTCCATTACCATTGCAATCTCTACTCCATTTTTGTATTTGATTGTACTCCTAGTTCTTATGGGAAATCCCATGCTCTTTGTGTATGTCTTGTAAAAATCATACACGACTTCTTTCGTATCAAACTTCATACCAACATCCGGGGCTTCAATATCCTTTTTCTGACCATGTGCATCTGTGATGGTACAATATTCAATTAAAAAAAATAGATACGTTTAGCTGACACAGACAGTATATGTAAATACAGACAACTTTAACTATTTCACAAACAAATATGTTCACTTTTTCCAACTTACACAGACAAAGTTTCATACACCACACAAACAAACATGACCAATCTACAGCACACACAGGACGAAATACAAACAAGATGAAGTCCTACCCGGTTCATAAACCACGTCCATGGAAGCCTCCAATGTCGGTCCATCATCTTCTCAAGTTTGGGCCCTTTTTCCGTCATCTTTTTTAGTGGTGCGAGCTCCAGAGGTCTGTCCTTCAAGTCCTGCAGCTACGGAGGTCTGTCCGTTACCTTATCCAGCTACTACTGACGTTTCTTCGATTTAGAGAACTCCGTCGTCTCCGCTTGCAGCAGTTGCATCCCAAATAGCCCAAAATTCATCAGCGTTAACATCTCCCATGGTGCGAGACAAGCTTCCTTGTAATCCGTAGCAAGAAAACCGGAGACTGCGTTGATTTTTTTGGGGTGCGAGAGAAGCTTCCCTGTTACAGAAGCTGTGAGAGAAGACAGAGTGGGTGGCTACGTTGATTTTTTTGGGGACGGAAACTGCGGCACGTGGGACTGAGTGGGGAAAGGGGGTAATTTTTTTTTTCCTTTAGGCCTTATATATGGTGTACTAATGTGTATAAAAAGGTGTACAAAGAACAAAATTGATACTCCCTCCATCCGGAAAATGTTTGACAAATTGATTTTTCTTGATCAATGACAATCAACTTTGACCAATGATATATTTTAATACGAAATTATTTAGAATATGAAAATTATATCAAAATATTCCTTATTGAAAATATTTTCATAAAAGTATAAAATTTATAAATTATATACAAATGTAATAACTAAAATCATTGATCAAAGTTTGACATCATTGATCAAGAAAAATCAATTTGACAAACTTTTTCGGGAGGGAGGTAGTATTAAAAACACTCCTGTGACTTGCAAACACCCGTAGTAGATACGAAATGTACTGTGATGCTAAATTTAATTTTTTATTGTGATAAAATTCGTGCAGCCAAACAAAGCATAAGTTATTTTTTAAGTATCTTTTGTAGATGTGTAGATGTGTCTTTTGCTCTTTATCATCAAATTATTGTATCTTTTGCATATATTTCGTGTAGATGTGTATCTTTTGCTCTGTCATCAAATTATTTGATAAAATGTTAACATTTTTTATTAACAAATAATTAATTTCCCTTTGATTTATCATTTATTAGACGTTAATTTACTTCATATAATTAATTTCCCTTTGTTTAAAGTTTTAATGGTAGAAAAAAATTGAACATCCAAAACCCAAATCGTCAATCCGCCACTGCCAGGACCGATCCTGGAGCATAGGCAACGGGGCATGCGCCCGAGGCCCATTGCTCTCCTAGGGTCCATTATTTATTTATACGTTACATCCCTATAAAAAAATTAAAAATTAAATCAAATTTATAATTGTTGGGATATTGATCCAGAGGCCCAATACCCGGATCAAGAAGGTCCAAGATACCCGGCCCAAGCAACGGGCTCATCTCGCTATGATAAGATAATCAAGGTAGAATTCATGCCGAACGAGATTCGGCCCAAATAAGGGTTGACCCAGTAAGAAGACATACCGAACGGCGTTCGGACTATATATTATACTTGGGCCAATTTGACAGCATCTTCAGCATAGCCCAACATCTCGTTCGAGCAACGGCCAACCGGCAAGTGGCCAGGTGCAATTAATGCCAGATTGTGACATCAGCAAGTGGAAACATGGGTGGCCAAGTCGGTGGAACAACGGCCAATCAGCATGGGGCAGCCCATGCTCTCCATTAGTATAAATAGAAGGTTTTAAGT